ACATCATCCTGACAATGTAAATATAGTGAGCACGTTGCTGAATCAAGTAACATGCCATGATAAAATGTTAAAAATCCCCTGTTCTTCCTAGAGTTATTAACTGCCTCACTTTTTTACTTTTTTAAAAATGGCTGGGTGCAGTGGCTCGTGCCTGTAACCCTAGCACTTTGGGAGGCCAAGGCAGGAGGATCGTCTGAGGTCAAGAGTTCAAGACCAGCATGAGCAAGAGCGACACCCCCATCCCTACCAAAAATAGAAAAGTTAGCCAGGCATGGTGGCACGTGCCTATAGTCCTAGCTACTCAGGAAGCTGAGGCAGGAGGATCATTTGAGCCCAGGAGTTTGAGGTTGCAGTGAGGTATGATGACAACACTATACTCTAGCCAGAGCAACAGAGTAAGATCCTGTCTCAAAAAAATTTAAAAAAAGAAAGAAAGAAATGAAAAAATATTGAATTTTATCCAAATACTTCAATATCTCTATCAAATGCCCATTAATAATATCTTCCAATGCCCAGACACATGACTTTCAGTTTACTCTCTTATTTTGTTGAAGCACACACTCCAGTAGCTTACTCAGAGGAGGTACATCAGTGGTAAATTTTTAGAGTACTTGCATGTCTGAAAATTTCTTTATTCTCTTCTTATTACTGACTGATAATTCAGAAAGATTGGAAATCATTTTCCCTAAGCATTTTTAAAGATTTTTTTCCAGTGTTGCCATTGAAATGTCTAATGACTTTCTAGTTGCCACTCTTCTTTTTTTTTTTTTGAGACAGAGTCTTGCTTTGTTGCCTAGGCTACAGTGAGTGCCATGGTGCCAGCCTAGCTCACAGCAACCTCAAACTCCTGGGCTCAAGCAATCCTTCTGCCTCAGCCTCCTAAGTAGCTAGGACTACAGGCATGCGCCACCATGCCCGGCTAATTTTTTCTATATATATTAGTTGGCCAATTAATTTATTTCTATTTATAGTAGAGACGGGATCTCGCTCTTGCTCAGGCTGGTTTCAAACTCGTGACCTCAAGTGATCTGCCCGCCTCAGCCTCCCAGAGTGCTAGGATTACAGGCGTGAGCCACCGCGCCCGGCTGCCACTCTTTTTTATGTGGCTTGCTTTTCTTTCTAGAATCTTGCCATTTTCCCTAGTAGTCTGAAATTTCATAATGATATACCTTAGAATGGAGTTGTTTCTTTTTTCTCATTGATAGTGCTGGGCACCAAGAAGTCCTTTCCATTTTATCTGCAATTTTTTTCCCTTTATTTCTTTGCTAATTTCTTTCCTTTGTTTTCTCTATTTTCTTTGTGAACTCTTGTTAATAGGATATTGTAACATCTATATTAATATCTAAATGTATTATTCTTTTATCCTAGTGATCATCTCTGCATCTTTCTATTATCTCAGACAGAGTTTCTCAAAGTAGGGAGCTGAGGAGAAGGTTGATTCCCCTGCCCCAGGGGAATGTCTGGAAATATTTTTGATTGTCACCACAAGGAAGAGTGGGTGCTCTGGAATCTATTGAGTTGAAGCCAGGGATGCTGACAACCATCTTATGTGCATGGAGCAGCCTTCCACAACAAAGAATTTCTAGCCCAAATGCCAATGAGGCCAAAATTGAGAAATCCTGGACTAGGAGAATTTCTTAACTTTATTTTCTAAGTTTCCACTAATGTTTTTATTTCAAACATATTTTTCATTTCCAAGGGCTCTTTCCCATTATCTGGATAGCTCTTTTATTATAGAACTCTCAAGGGATAAACTCCTGAGAAGAAACTTCCGGCCTCATAGAGGATAGAGGGTTTGCTTGGGTGGTGCCATTAGAGTGGAATGCATGAGTGCAGGCTGGCCGTATGAGATGAGGAAGAGACCTAGGAGTCTAAGAGCTTAGTGAACAACTTTAGGGCAATCCTCTTTGTCAGCCTTATACCCCACCCTGCCTTCCACAATACACTGTGGTACACCTCAAAGTGCCATCTCCTGCAAACACCTAGGTTAGCCCCTCTTCCACTTTGTCATGTCAATTATTATCTCTACTTCCTTCAACTTCTGGCTCCCAAAATTTATTGAAATCTTTCATTTGCTGTAGACTTTTCTCCTGTTCTCTTTTTCCTTGTGGCCCATATCTCATAAACACTTTTCTATACTACCATTTTAGTGCCATTTTGCAAAGAATTAGTGATAAACACCTGTGGTCATTCCATGATGTTTACACAGGACAGTCTTATTTTTGTATTTTGAAAAAAAATTAAACAATAAACAGAAAGGGATCTAGAACATAGGAAAGGAAAGAACACAGTTCTATTTTTCTTAAAATTCTAACTTACTTTTTAATTGTGACAAAATGTTATGATGGATATTTTAACAATTTTATAAATTATTTGAAATTAATGCTACCAATCACCAGTTTATATAACTTTTAGATAAGTTTGTTGAATATCCTTCCAGATGCTTTTCCATGCATACTCACATACACTTCAGAGTTTTTAACAACAAAAAGATTAAAATAGTACATATTATTTTGTAACTCTTCTGTTCTATTCAGTGAATGTACCATAATATATTTAACTAATCCCCTACTGTTGGACATCTAGGGATCTTATTGTTGGACCAAATTTTCAGCTTTTCAGATAAAACAAAGTAGTAATGTGTGATTAAAAATTAATTTTAAAATTCAAAGCCAGCTTCCAATTTAATAGGGAAACACTGGAGGATTTTTGCTCAGGTCAAGAGGAGGACAAAGAGATGCCCTTTCTACTAGTAATTAAAGTCATGCTGGAAGCTTCAGTCAAGGAAAGCAGAGGAAAGAGAGAAAGTAAAGCTATAGCTATTGGAAAAAATAGTGTAAAATTGTCATTATTTGCAGATGATGTGATAATATATTAATATCTGGAAATCAACTGAAATATATATATATACATATATATATGTATATATATATCTCCAAAAAAATTGACTGAAAAAACTTATATAAACATAGAAAATTAAGTAGGGGAGAAAGATATAAAATGAATTTACCAAAATTGTGTGTGTATATATAATATGTGCACATACACACACATACAAAATAGTACCTCACAAAATAAAAGAAAGAAAAGACCCCACTTATAATTGCAACCAAAAGTTTCTATGAATACATTTAACAAGGAATATGCAAAATTTACAAATATATGAGGAAAACTTTAAAACACACCTGTAGGACCCAAAAGTAGACTAGAACAAATGAAAAATCAAGCCATGTTCTTTGATAGAAAAACCAATGTACGTCCATTCTCCCAAAATTCTAATGTTTTCCATTTGTTACAATCTCAATGAAAATACCAAGAGGCTATTTTCTGGAGTAGGATAAGATGAATCTAAATTCCATATGGAAAAATATATAAGCAAGAATAAGCAGAAAAACTCTTTAAAAAAGATTAGTGAGAAAAGAATAACCTTCTAAATATTAAAAAATACTACTGAATCTCAATACTTTGGGATTTCCATAGGAATAGACAGACTAATGGAATTGAATAGAAAGTCCAGAAATACATCTAAATAAGCAGCATCTCAAATCAGTGGATTAAGATGAACATTTTAATAAATGGATAACATCTGGAAATAAAGCTAAATGTATATATCATACTATACACTAGAATAAATTCCAAATGGGCCAAAGAATCATATTTTTGTAGTGATATGAATCTACTACCCCAGTGATCATATAGACAATGAACTTATTTTTTTATTTTTTTTTGTTGTCTCAACCAAGGAAGAAGGAACTATCTTAAAAATAATTAAAAAGAAAAAGCAAGGACAATTTTTATGACAGTATTTTTAATATGCAAACATATTATCTCCCTTATAAATTTATTATCTCCCAATCAAATTGATCTCCTAATGCTATTACAATTTTGTTAATAGCAATAATATTACTATAATCAATCCACCCTATAAAAGGTGAAGAATTTATATGAACTGAAGAGAAACCTGAGTATTCTTTATACTATATAGAAACCAGACACTCTATATAAGAAGTCAGAAGCATCAAGAATGATATTTTCTATTTATTATTTAAATAGAAAATGCATATGCTACATTCAGATTTCCCGCTTAATCATGGGCCTGTGTTCTGTGCATTTTAGTTAAAAGATTTTTGTCTTCCAGTAAGTAACAGTTTTGGGATTTTACCCATTGTCACCCCTTTTGAAAATATTTTTATTTTGCAATGTACTAAGAATTTTCTATTTTAAAAGTAAGACAATCTAATTTTAGTGAAAAAGATATCATTTTATGGAGTTTATTTTCCACAAGGGAAGGTATAGTTCTGGTCTCAGCTTTTAAAATTCTCCTTGGTAAAAAACACAAGATTAAAAAAAATAATTTTTAAAAGACTGTTCTAATGAAATGTCTTCAAACTTTGGCAAATATATTCCATAATAAAATGTGTTATATTCCAAAATGCTAAAATGATGTTTAATAGCCAAAAAGTAGGAAGAAATGGATTGCATAATAAGGTTTCATTTCGAACTCCTGGCCTCGAGCAATCCTCCCGCCTCGGCCTCCCAGAGAGCTAGGAATACAGGCATGAGCCACCACGCCCGGCCTGGATTACATAATAAGGAAAAATTTTAACTGTTGATACTATCTGTACATTACATATTAGTAATTATAATCACATTAATAAAAAGACTATCCACATAAGAAAATTTAACTTAATCTATTAATTATTACTCCAATCAAATACAAATAATGAATTTCACAAATATACCAAAGTGGTGTGAAATACTCTCAGGCAATGTTGGCCAAATCATCTAACACAAAATCTAAGTACTGGATATCTCACGTAATTTATTGAATATTGTACTAAATGTGATCTGAGCATGTTTAAGATAGGCTAGGCTAAATTACAACATTCAGTAGATTAGGTATATTAAATGCATTTTTGACTTAGGGTATTTTCAATTTATGATGGGTTTATCAGATATAACACCATCAGAAGCCAAGGAGCATGTGTACACCTTTGCACTTTATACTGCACCGTGCAAGATGGGTGCTGTCCATATATTCTCCCCACTTTTCTCATCTTGTCAAGGAACTCATTTAGGAAGCTCAAAGTTCTGTGGCTGGAAGAGAGTCTTAAATGATAATCTACATTCTAGAGAGAAAAAGAGCAAAAGAATGACATGTTTCTCCTTTTTTATCATGAGCAATTACCCAATGTTAATAAAAAGGAGTCAAGTGATTTAAAGGGCTGCTTTGCCTCTTTTTAGATCTCCTACAAAGGAACTGCCCTCTGGTTTGTACATGAAGTCTTATACCAGGTGACATTTAAAAATCTATCAGGATTTGGCTTTTAACAGTGTCTTATCCACACAGTTCTACTAGTACAGAAAAGGAACTCAATTTCAATTCACTTTGTCTTAATCCAAATTATTTATTCTCTTAACAAAGAATGCACCTTGTTAGAGCATCACAGGAAACTTTGAAAACAATTTCATGAATTCTGATTATGCAGAATTCTTGGGAAATAAGTAACCAGATAGCTAAAAACACCAACTGTCAACATTTGTCATGTTGATTTGGGGGGGAAGGGGATAAACAAACAAATAGAGCTGCAGTTCAGAACTACATGTCATATAAATAATTTAGGTGTGGTTTTTGTAACTTTGGTCTTTGGTTTGTAATGACCATTACAACAGTAAAGACCAAAGATTCTTTGACTTTAAGGAAATCAATATAAAAATAACTCACCGCCATCCCTATTACTGCTTCATCACCTTAAATCAGAATTCAGCACTTCCTCTAGTTTCTGTAGGAAAATATCTCCAAGCATTTCATGATTCTCCCCAACTTTACATAAGATTAGTGGTTTCTAAGGAGTTGGGAAGACCTTCTAGCAGCTCTATGCTCCAATCTCTTCTCCCCTACAGAAGAGTTAAATAAGCATCTTTTCTGCCTTAAACCCCTTGGAGTTTCACTGCCTACCTAATAGTTCTTCCAGACAAATACAGTACTCTCCCTAAAAGAAGTTCTGAAAAAAAAAAAAAATTCTTCAACTTGATCCACTGCTTTTGCTCTCCTTTCTCAATTAGCTCTTGCTGTATTCATCTTAAAGTTCTGATGATTACTTGACCCTGAGAATGTAGCTTGTCTGCCTTAATTCTTGGCTCTAAATTTTGCAATTAACCTTTTGCTCAGTTCACTTTTGCCTACTCCAAGTAATGACCTCACCAAGTTTTAACTCTATGTCAGTTTTGGCTTAACTCTGTCCTCCCTCATCCCCCAATCCACAGAGGTGTATCTGATCTCAGCTCCACTTACACAATAGCTGTCTAAAACTCTTTCTTCAGTTCCAGCTCTATATTCTCAAGATCCTACTATGTTTTCCCAGGTCCTTCAAATGCAATAAAATATATAATTCATTATGCCTCTTCTTCTCTGTACTCCTCTCTCTTTCTCAGTTTATGAAGTCATCATGCCTCTAATCACCCAATCCAGAAACCTCAATTTTCCTAGACTCCTCCCTCTTGCTTAGCCCTCTATATCCAAGAACATACCAAACTCTGTCAGTGCTACTCCCTAAATATTTAACATTTACTTACCTCCTCTACCTTTCCTCTTTTACTCACCAAGTTTAGAAACATACCATCTGTAACCTCAGGTGTCTCTCTCTAGGATGATACCAGGATAATAATTTCCATCTTCTCCCAGTGTTTAGCACAATGTTTCACACACAATAGACCTTCAAAAAATATCCATTAATTATATGAGACTTCAAATCCTTGTGATCTCACATCTTTCCTTTCCTTGTCATTCATAAATTGCCTCTCTCCAAACTTCCTGCCTCTTCAGAATTCTTCTTACCTGCTGTTGATTATCTTCTCATCTTTTTACCTCAAATAAAAAGTTTTCTATTACTCTTCATCGCCTACCAACTAAATGTATAGCACTAAAGTCTTCTATTATAGCTCAAATCTACTTTTCCAGTCTTATTGTTCACACTCTTTACTCAGTCTAGTCATTCCCCCAAAAATGCTGTGTATTTTCCAGCCTTCACACTTTTTGCTCGTGCTGTGCTCAACACACAGAATGTCTTTTCTTCACATCTTTCCTTGTCAAAACCTTTCCTGGATAAGATGGAGAATTTCTCTCTTCCGCTTCTCTCCTTTGAGAGTTTGAGCTAGTTTATAACTGGCTTTGTACATGTAGTTTACTTCTACTACTAGGAAAGCAGTATCATTTGAGTTGTTCAAAGCCGTGTTTTTCAGATCACCTGCAACAGAATAACCAGAGTCTTGCTAAAAACAAAAACCTACTAAGTCAGAATCTCTTCAGGCAGATACTCAGAACTCTGCACTTTAAAAAAGCAGCTCCCCAGTAAACTGCACAATGAGGTTAGAGACCTTTGAGTTGCAGAAATGGGCTTTGAAGTCAGTACAAAAGGGAGTTGCATTCCAGTTATATCTCTGTTAAAAGATAATTTTCAGAAAAACCTAAAATCATAACTCTGATACAGATAGAAAATTTACAAAATGTTAAAGATTTTATTTAACCCATTCAGTGAGGGAACCAGGCAGCTTTGTTTTGTTTTGTTTTTTGAGACACAGTCGTGTTCTGTTGCCTGGGTTAGAGTGCCATGGTGTCAGCCTCGCTCATAGCAACCTCAAACTCCTGGGCTCGGCCCCATGTGGTGGCTCACGCCTGTAATCCTAGCTCTCTGGGAGGCCGAGGTGGGAGGATCACTCAAGGTCAGGAGTTCGAAACCAGCCTACACAAGAGCGAGACCCCGTCTCCTACTAAAAATAGAAAGACATTAATTGGCCAACTAAAAACATATAGAAAAAATTAGCCAGGCATGGTGGCACATGCCTGTAGTCCCAGTTACATGGGAGGCTGAGGCAGGAGGATCACTTGAGCCCAGGAGTTTGAGGTTGCTGTGAACTAGGCTGACCCACAACACTCTAGTCCGGGCAACAGAGTGAGACTCTGTCTCAAAAAAAAAAGAAAAACTCCTGGGCTCAGACAATCCTCCTGCCTCAGCATCTCCTGCAACTAAGACTACAGGTGCGTGCCACCACACCCAGCTAATTTTTTCTATTCTTTTTTTTTTTTTTTTGAGACAGAGTCTCACTTTGTTGCCCAGGCTAGAGTGAGTGCCGTGGCGTCAGCCTAGGTCACAGCAACCTCAAATTCCTGGGCTCAAGTGATACTACTGCCTTAGCCTCCCGAGTAGCTGGGACTACAGGCATGTGCCACCATGCCCAGCTAATTTTTTCTAAATATATTGGTTGGCCAATTAATTTCTTTCTATTTATAGTAGAGACGGGTCTCGCCCTTGCTCAGGCTGGTTTTGAACTCCTGACCTTGAGACTTTGAGCGATCTGCCCGCCTCGGCCTCCCAGAGTGCTAGGATTACAGGCGTGAGCCACCACACCCGGCCTAATCTTTTCTATTCTTAGTAGAGATGAGGTCTTGCTCTTGCTTAGGCTGGTCTCAAACTCCTGAGTTCAAGGGATCTTCTCGCCTTGGCCTCCCAGAGTGCTAGGATTACAGGCGTGAGCCACCACACCCGGTCTATCATGCAGATGTTATAGCCTGTTTTTAAGTCAGTCTGAAAAAGACACATTTATACAGAGTTATAAAATGGCTCAAAGATAATGAAATGGGAGGGATGAGATGACCTGGCAGGTGTCCTCCATGCAATGCATAATTTTCTGTTAAAACAAAATTTTTCTCACACCTCTTACTAGTTATGTGTCTTTGAGTAGGTTACTTAACTTTTCTGAGCCTCAGTTACTTTATCAATAAAATTATAATAAGATTTTGTCATTTTAAAAAAGCTTTCATGAGAATAATACTTACCTAATGGGGTTAATGAGGGCCAAGAGTTTAGCACCGTATAGACCAAATTATACTCGATAAACATTACCCCGTAGTAGTAGTACTAGTAGTACTACTAACTATAAGTCCCTCGAGACTCAATCTTGTTTATTAATAAGTGTATTCCTTCAATCAATCAACCAAAGTGTGTTAAGTATCTATTTATGCGAGGTTTGTGTGGATAATAACATAGTCCTTGTCCTCAAGGAGTACAGGCTAGCAGAGGAGATAACAACTTAACACAAATAATTACATGGGATATAAGAAGTAAAAATAGAGTTATGTGAGTACAATTGATAAAATAACTAACCATGTGCAGAATGCACAGAACGCTTACAGAAAGGGATTATAAACATAAATTTGAGCTGAATCTTAACAGGTGAGCAAGCAACCACTAAGAAAACACAGTTTGCTAATAATTATTATCCTAGATCATTACGTGTGTTGATTTGCACAAGAGGCATATAATAATGGTGAATTCTAATTGAGTACTTACTATGTGTCAGGCACAGTTCTAAAGACCATCAATATCAGATTTTATGAAGAAAAAAATCCTGAGGCTTAGAGAAACCAAGCAACTTTCGCAAGATGATACAGCCAGTAAATGGCAAAGCCACGATTCATCACAGAAAACCTGTTTTCAAACTGAGGAAAGATCATCTCAATTTTTCTAATAGGAGAATCAAAACCCAGAGAGATTAGATGATCTCACAGGAGAGATTTATTAGAACTTGGGTGTCTGGTTTTAAAGCCCAGGCAAATGGGGAGGAAGAGTACTCCAGAATGAAGGGGAAGATGCAAAACCATGCAAGCATGGAGGAGCCTGGCATGCCCTCAAGAACCACAGATGTTTGGAACTCCGTATGCATTTATGGAAACAGCAGCAGAAGCTGAGGGCACTAGAGTAATCAAAGATTATGAAAAATAAATTATGCCACACTAAATTATATAGACTCTGCTCAGGAGGATATGAGAAAACAAGGAAGGATTTTAAGCAAGGGAATGAGGAGATCAAAGGTTTAGAAACTGGAGTTATGAGGCAGCAAAGGCTAGTGTTACTGAGATCAAGAGTTTTGAAGTCAGACAGACTGCCACTTATATTGACCTTAGGAAAGAGAACCTATTCATCTGTTAAATGAATATAATAATAGGGCTGTTAACGAAGTTTAAATGAAAGAACATAGGTCACTACGCTACAGATCTGATACTGTACTTCTGATCTAGTAAGCATTTAATAAATGATGGTGGTAATATTGTTTATTGCTATTAATGTTGTTAGGATACAAACATATTGAGACCTAGTTTAGGTCTTTTTTTTTTTCAGGTTTATTTATTTATTTATTTTTTGTTAAATTATTTTTACCTTTTTAAAACTAATTTTTTAAAGTTTTACAGGCTGTATATCAGAACCTTTTTTTTTTCCAGCATATTATGGGGGTACAGATTTTAAGGTTTCAATAAATGCCCATTTCTCCCCTCCCCCCACAAGTCTGAGTCTCCAGCATGACCATCCCCCAGATGGTGCACATCTCACTCATTATATATGTATATACCCGCGCCCCTCCCCCCTGCCCACCTGCCCAATACCCTATTACTGCAGTACCTATGTGACCACTTAGGTGCTGTTCAGTTAATACCAATTTGCTGGTGATAGTTTAGGTCTTTTTGAAGAAAGAACATATTAAATACACTGACTGATGCTCTTTTGCTTAGGTTGTTTAAAAATAAAACCAGTGCTGCTTGATTTATTCAGGCATAGTAGACTGATCTGTATCAAAATAGCAAACTACCAGGAGCACAAAGAATACCTGATTTTGGGAATGGCTTGAAGTTATGCATCCAGTTTACCAAACATTCTTGTGTCCTTATTGTGTATTAACACTGTATTAAGTGGTACATATATAAAAATAGTTAGGACACAATCTCCTTTCACAAGGAGGCAAGAGTCTACAATGCAGTTCTTTTGGTTGCTTTCCTTTGTTTCCCATCCCTGGCCTCCTCTCTGATTTACAACCTTACTCACCCCTTAGGTATTTGCACTACTCCTGTGGAAGTAAGTGATCTTAGTTTCTCTACTTCATTACCCCCATCTTGGACTACTTCCTTTCCTGGCTCCTCCAGCTGGACAAGTCAGATCACACCTTGTCTGATCCAAACCAGTATCTTTCCCTGGTTCCAAGACACCTTGCTACTATAGCAAAGTTAAAGCAAACCTCTCATAGCTGGTACTAGAATTCTTATTAGAGGAAAACACCTTGATGAGTCATTACATGGAGATGGTGTGCTTGAGAACTCAGGTTAGTAAGAGGATAACAAAAGAGAGACTGTTCTATATCAGAAATTAAATTGGGATCAGTAGGGTGACTATAGTTTACAATAATGTATTGTGTATTTCAAAATAGCTATAAGAGAATCATTTTGAAAGTTTCTAGCATAAAGACAAATGTTTAAGGTGATGGATGTCTCAATTATACTGATTTAATCTTCACAGATTATATAAATGTTTTAAATTACCACATGTACCCCCAAAATATTTACATCTATTATGTATCAATAAAGAAATATTTTTTAAAGGAAAAAGAAGTTAGATATGGTGGCATATGCCAGTTATTCAGGAGGCTGAGGCCAGAGGATTGCTTGAGTTCAGGAGTTCAAGACCATCCTGGCCAACATAGCAAGACCCCAACTCAAGTAAAAATAAATAAATAACAAATAGAAAGAAAAAAATAAGTTAACTTGAGGGTATGGAAAGAGTTAGGGACAACAGAGAAGAGAGAAAAAAGAAAGGGAAGGCAGATAACTTTATCACATATGCCTAATATATTTTTAAAATGTATAATATTTGAAGTTATTTGTATTTCTTTAATTTCTTGCATTTATCTCAAATCTCCAGCAAGCTTTTCATTACCTCTAAATTCCCACACTTCCCCACGTGAGGACAGGTGGTGGCAGGGTAAGTGAAGAAATCATAAAATGGGGCCAGGTGCAGTGGCTCACTCTTGTAATGCTAGCATTCTGGGAGGCCAAGGTAGGATTGCTTGAGCTTGAGAGTTGGAGACCAGCCTGAGCAAGAGCAAGACCCTGTCTCTACCAAAAATAGAAAAATTAACTGGGTGTGATGGTGCATGCCTGTGGTCTCAGCTACTTGAGAGGCTCAGGCAGGAGAATCACTTGAGCCCAGGAGTTTGAGGTTACAGTGAGCTAGGATGATGCCACTGTATTCCATCCAGGGTGACAGAGCAAGACTGTCTCAAAAAAAAAAAAAAAAAAAAAAGGAAAAGGAGCAGAATGGAGACAGCAACCTAAACAATGAGACAGTCGATAAACAGGATGCACGAGTGGGGACTGAGGTAATGCTAAAATCAGATGCCTGGAAAACTGGCAGAATGCTTC